TCACCGCTCCGCCACGCGCCGCAAGAAGACCCAGGTCTGGAGGGAGAAAGTGGCTCCCTCGGCCCAGTCTCTATTGTTCACTGGGATTTAACTCAATGCTTTGCCCTGGGTTGTTATCAGCCACCTCCCTCAAACTTCCCGCCTTCCCTGGGCGTCCTGACAAAGTGCAGATTCTTGTTAAATAAGTCTGGAAAGAGGCCCAAAGTACTGCGTTTCTAAGAAGTTACTAGGTGGTCGCACGCGTGGCCAGCGGAGCACAATTTGAGTTTTAAGGGTGGGAACCTCTTTTTTCCACCTTCTTTTCTTTTCTTTTCTTTTTTTTTCTTTTAGCAAAAAGAAGACTTTTATTACAACAGCAACTGCGGCGAATCGCCCCCAGGGCCCTTCCACCTCCTTTTTAGTGGCCTATCCCTGCAGGGCAGAGGAGGCGCTTTACAACTGCTTTGCTGCCCTCGGGGGTTGATCTTCAGGCAGCTGGGAGAGAGTGGGAGCCCCCATCCCAAAAATCCCTGAGGGGAAGCCTGAGGTTAGCCCCAGGTTTGCATGGACAGATTAGCATCAGACACACTTAGTATTAAAGGGAAGTGCCTTCTAGTGTTTAGAAACCTGCCCTCCCTAGGAGAAACCCTGTGAGGTTTATCCCCGGGTCTGCATCTGGCGCTACCCTAAGAGCGATTACCAGCAAGGACCTTCTCCTCCAGAGAACTGTTACAGACCAGCCTTCCCAGGAAACCCCTAGGGCGTTTACCTTGACATAGGCTTTGAGTTACCTTGAAGATGGACATAAGAGGGCCATGTTCCACTCCCTCCCTCTGCTGAGCTGCCCTTTTCCAGGGCTCTGAAGGTTACAGTGCCATTGGACTCTGTCCTCAGGATCTAGCCACACCTGTATTAGTGTCATGGTTTACATATTACCTAGGTCTCCTCAAGCGATGTGACCAGTCCCAATCACGATCCTGAATTTCAAATGTCCTGTCCAGGTACGTGACCTCTCTACTTGGCGGTCCATAAGCATTCGCAACACCTAAACCAAACTCGTGATGTTCCTTCATGAACCTTCCTTCCAGAAAGAAGGGTTCTCTTTTTTTTAAAAAAAAAAAAAAAAAAAAAAAAAAAAAAGAGTTATCTTATTTGTCTTTATTTACTTTAATTTGACCAGAGAGGAGGAGGAGGAGGAGAGAGAGAGAGAGAGAGAGAGAGAAAGCTGCCAGTTCTGGGACTCGAACCACAGTCAGACACATGGGAGTCCAGAGCCCATAACCACCACGCCACCTGCCCCAGAAGGAAGGTTTTTATAATTAGCAAATAGTGGCATCAAATTCCTTGATATCATTTTGGTCTCCTTTGTCTCCCATCTCATATCCAATGCAACAGCAAGTCCTGTCCATTCTGTCTACAGAATATATTCCGTTCTGCCTGCACTCATCCCAGTCTGTGCCCTTGCACCTCTCACCTGAACTACTTCTATCTGTCTGCTTTCCCTTCCCTTCAAACTGGCACCTGTACTCCAGAGTCTAATCTCTCCATAGCAATTACAGTGTTCCTTTAAAAAGTAACAATAGAGGACCAGCAGATAGTGTAATGATTACATTGCCAGATTTCCATGTAGTCAACCGCGGTTCGAGTCCTGGACTCAGGAGCTTAAAACTCACACCTGGCGCATGTGTATTCATGCCCAAAACCCCAAGAGGAGAAAAGGTTGCAGCATGGCCATCCCCCCTTGGTGGTGATTTCTTGCCTTTTGTCTCTCTGTCTCTCTAGCAAGCACACGCACCCTATAGCAAAAATCTCTCTTAAAAAAAGAAAGAGTAACAAGAGAATATCATTCCCTGCTCACAACTTTCCAGTGCGTTCCCATTGCTCTTCAAATAAAATAAAAATCTCAGTAAGACTATAGGGCCCTACATAATGTGGCCCCTGGCTACCTCTACAAGATCACCCACTAACACTTTTCCATTTGGTCCCTCCCACAAGCCACCTTGCTAGTCCTCAAACACAGTGAGGACAGGTCCTTCTCAGAGCATTCACCCTTGCTGTCCCCTTTAACCAGATGTATTTCCTCTCAGTCAACCAAATGGCTCATTGCATCACTTTGCTCACTTTCTGATTAAAGGTTGTCTTCTCAAAGAGACCATTCCTAAGCACCCTCCAGCATTTACCACCCAGTAACCCTGTATCATAGTTGCCTGCTGCTGCCGTAACCAGCTACCCAGACTCAAAGCAAATGTGTTTGCTTCCATTCCTGGAAGTCAAACATACAAAACCAGTCTCAGTGGACTGAAATCAGAGTGTCAGCAGGCCTGCCTGCCTTCTGGAGGCTCGAGGGAAGGATTCATTTCCTTGCCTCCTCCAGCTTCAAGAGGCTGCCAGCTCTTCTTGGGTCCTGTCCCCGTCTTCAAAGCCAACAGTGTAGCATCTTCTCACCCCTCTGCTTCCTAATTTCTATATTTCTCTAACTTTGATCCTTTGCCCTCTATCTCCTAAGGATCCTCATTATTACATTGGGCCTGCTTAGGTAATCCTTAATTTGTTACATAAGGTACCATATTCAGAGGTTCTGGTGATTAGAACATGGACATCTTGAAGCTACCATTAATCTCTCTAATCACTTTCCTTATTTTTCTTTGCAACATTTAATATTACTTCTTATTACATATTTACTTATTTTCTGTCTTCCTAATTGAATAAACACTTAGTACTGCTATATAAAAAAGATTGAATGGACCAGCCTAGTGGTTAAGGGAGAACCCCATATGACCCACCATGGTTCAACTCTCCGCCCTGGAGTCATAAAAAAAATATATGCTGGGTGCATTTGCATTCATGTTCCAAGTCCCAACAGAATGGAGCAATGGAGAAGGGATTGTGGTGTGACCATGCCCTATTTTTTTTTTTTTTCTGAGAGGGTTTCGCCACAGGGCGCGTGCACTCGCCAGACAGACAGAGAGAGACAGAGAGACAGAAAGTGAGAAATCACCCCCCAGAGCGGATGGCCACAGCGCAATCCCTTCACCTCCATTCTCCTTTCAGGATCTTGGGCACACACGCGCACGTGCCCGGCGTGAGTTTTAAGCCACCGGGTCTGGGATGCAAACCACGGTCAACTACGTGAAAGTCCAGCGACATAGCCATTACGCTAACTGCTGGTCCCAACCATGCCCTATTGAGGGGGTGATTTTTTCCTGTCTGTCTGTCTCAGAAGAGTGCATGTGCCCTCTGGCAATTAAAACAAAATAGATGTTAAGTAATGTTATTAGAATATAAGCTCTTTGGTAGCAGAGAATGTCTGTCATCATTGAACTCTCAGCATTCTCTCACAGTTCAAAGTACATAGGAAGTATTTAATAAGTACCAGAGAGAATGGATAAAGTCTGAGCAGAAGATCATGAACTCTCTCCACCGTTGTTAGCATCATTTTCTGGGGGCTTCTAAGTATGCTCTGAAACTCTGAAAACAAATACCCAAGCTTCTGAGAGAAGGGAGGCAGATTCCTGGGACACTGGCTGATGAGGCAGACTCCTGAGTCTGAGTTCCCTTCTCATGTTCACAGATGGAGGCAGATGAGTCCACAGCCAGTGGAGACATTCAGAGCCACTGCAGTGAGTGGGGGAAAGGGACTACAGAGCCTAAGTGGGATCAACTGCTGGGAATATAAATTTTGACCAGTGGCTAATCCTGTGTAACTCTTGAATCTCCCAAAGTCTCTGCTGGCCTCAAAGTTTAGACTTGTGTGGCAAATGATTGAGGCTTATGTTATCAAATAGCCATCAACATATTCTTTTCAACTCCAGTTTACAGTGGATGCTAACACAAAGGAATTCACAGCTTTGAAAGCTGATGAGTTTCACATGTTGCTGAACATTTTACAACATTGCCAGAGGCTATCACAGGTCCAAAGAGGGGGGCCTTATCCAATATGTTTTTTAATTTTTAAATTTAATTTTATTTCTTATTATCATAATCTTTTTATATTACATTGAATCACATATATCTTTACAGTGTATTACATTTCCTTTTCCAGCACAATTACCATGCATATCAGTCCAAAGACATTACTATCCATATCCTCATCTTCAAATAGCTTCTCATGATTTTTTTCAGTTTATTATTATTATTATTATGGAATATATTTTATTAAAGACTGTTTGCTGCAGGTGAAATAAAACCCAAACTCACATCTTGACCTGTGAGACCCCATGTGATCTGATACCTGTCTACCTGCTCACATTCCATCTTCTATGATTTTCTATTCATTCTTACTACACCTGTATCCTGCCATACTGGCCCTCTATCTCTTATTATCATAATCTTTTTATATTACATTGAATCACATATATCTTTACAGTGTATTACATTTCCTTTTCCAGCACAATTACCATGCATATCAGTCCAGACAAAGACATTACTATCCATATCCTCATCTTCAAATAGCTTTTCATGATTTTTTTCAGTTTATTATTATTATTATTATGGAATATATTTTATTAAAGACTGTTTGCTGCAGGTGAAATAAAACCCAAACTCACATCTTGACCTGTGAGACCCCATGTGATCTGATACCTGTCTACCTGCTCACATTCCATCTTCTATGATTTTCTATTCATTCTTACTACACCTGTATCCTGCCATACTGGCCCTCTATCTGTTCCTCCAACAAATCAAGTTCATTCTTTTTCAGGGCTTCTGCTGATGCTATTTATTCTACCTAGAACACTTTCACTATGGCATGGTAACAAAATGAATATCATGTCACCTTCTCAGAGGGTCTTCCGTACCCAACAAATCAAAAATTGACCCCTACTCAATGCTATTTTCTTCA